CGACCCTATAATATATCCATAAAAAGTAATGTTCCCACTCCCACAGCGCCACTGGGTGCTTTGAATAGTGATCACTGATCAAACAAGCGAGGAACAATCGAAAACACCCAGACACTTTGCTTGCACATTTATTAATATTGTTGTTTATCGACTACCGCATTATTGACTTATAATTATGTGCATTATTTAGCATTTGCACCTGACGACGGGCGAGCCTGCAAAGGTAATTGCCAGTGATCCCACGATTGCGCAACTATGCAACCGGGTAATTAGATAAGGCCGAATTGTAATTCATCGAGAATGCTCAAACATCAGTCTCCCGATTCTTCTTCTCCCCCATTTGACATTCATTTAACACTTGCCTTGGGTTAAACAACCGACTCTACCGGAGAATGTTTATTTTTAAAGAACTGTGCCATGCTTTTCGGTTTTTTGGAAAACGTTTCCACTCTATGTGCGCATACATTGGCCCGATGTTCTACTTTAGCTTTTAGCTATTTGTACATTCCACATATATATATGTTTGCGCCGAGACATTGTTGTTTTTGTATACTAATTAGACGTCGGCTGGTGTGGCGGTCTTATCAAAATTATCATTGAAAAATAAGTATAGCAACACGATTGGCGGGGTCACTCGATTCTATAAAATAAAAAGCGGCCTGATAAGTAAACAAATGGAATTTCTGGGCCTTGGATCAGGCGATTTTTGCATAGTGCCCACGCTAAATTGATCATTTTCTGATACTTTAAGTGGCCCTGTGTTATGTGGGCACTCGAAAGTTTTCGAGTATTTCATTTAAATACAAACTTCTAGTGTATGTCTGTGTGTCAAAGCAGTTCTCGCCTAAAGTTTTATCTGCGCACTTCGACAACTGGAAATCACACTCCCTCCCACCACCGAAAAAAAACCGAAATGTAAAAAGAAACCAACAAAAACGAAATGAACATTTTTGGCTGCCTTGAAGGTCGAAGCGTCTGATAAAGTTGTTAGCTTAATATCAACAGCAGAACTCTCTTATAATTTGGGATATAAAAAACATATAAGTGCCTACATATTTGAGAAACTCTCCACTTTTGACTTAAAGGTTTCGAATTTTTATATTAGTTTGATCTTTGAAAATAAATTTACAGATTTGCAAATAGCCATAAAATATAGAATGGATTAGCTTGGGAAAACTCTATAATTTCAATGGGATTAAAGATAAGAATTTTCAAGATTAACGTGAAAGCTTAAAATCTAAAGTGATGGGATCCTTTTTTATGTTTTTCTAATTTTTTCCCAAAATTTAAATACCCCTTCGCTAGTGTACCAAATAACGTAAAACTACCAAAATCCAGATTTTATATAAGTTGACACATGCCTTCGATTACGATCTTTTCGGGGGATCTCACGAGTTCCCCGATAATTTGTGCTAATCAAATTTGATAAATCTATCAAGTGCCAAATCGCGTGCCCCATCGATAAGTTAGTGGCTCTATTAAACGGATTTCGATATGGCCTAATTGTATTGTCATCATATGATCGAGAAACCGGTTAGACACGGAACAGTCCCCCAGGCTCAAATTGGGCCAGTCAAGTGTCCAATATGGTCTTTCCTATATATGCTAATTGCATTTAACTAATCCAGTTTTATGCTATAACCCTGTGATTTTTCACAGTCCGTTGATGTCATTCAATCCCACGACATCATATTTGTGCTTGGCAAACCGTAGCCACTCGGAAATGTGATTAAGTTAGTTGCTTTAGCACTTGATAAGGTGCTCTGCCGTAGGGTTATCAATTGGGTCTCAGGCGTCATTGAGCAAAGTTTTGGTTTCAATTCAAGACTTTGATGTAGCTGTTTCTGTTGCATAATGCATAAGCTCTAGCTTAATTGTAGCTTAGTTCGAGTGTCTACATATGTGTCATTCACACCTTATCGCCTTGCACACTTTGGATTATCAGATGGACTGCAGATATACAATATACTTGGGAGGTATAAAAATAGCAGGGGCAGCAGTCAAACGAACCTCTTGATTAGAAGCCACATCGAACCATAAATTTACGACTGACAAGCCTTCTTTGGAGCTCCGAAGGCGTTCCTAGCCTAGGTCAATGCCGCATGTTTATCAGTGCTCCTAATAAGATTTGCTAATTAGCAAATTGTCTGCTTTTGTCTAATAATTACAAAGCTTTTCACAAATAATATGAGCAATCAAGTCTCAAGTGGCCCAACCTCGTGGCCAACTGATAAGACGGAGCCCCTAATTTTAGCCGCTCAAATCAGGAACCTTCAGCTGTCTAAGCACCTGACTGGCGTCGGGCTAAGAACGTTAATCTCCCTACCTTTTGGGCCAGGTCTTAATTACCCCCGCGTATTTACAACCATAAATAACTTGGCCAGAAGCCTATGCACATTGTACTCAGAGGTAGCGATGCCATCAACCTGTTGCGCAACCCAAAGCGTCAACAGTTTCCATTGCCCTGATAAGTCGCAGAGATAAGAATGTTCAGGGAAGAGGCTGCTGTGAATGAAGATCAATGGAAACTAAGGCTTCCGCCACTATAATCAGCTTCAATTACAATCCAGCTGGCAATTGGAATGCCATAAAAAACTTATAGACTCATATATGTTTGTAGTTTCCCCGTGCAATAAGTCAGCCGATCATTATCGGACTTCGGAACACCCATAAATGCGGGGCGATGTCAAAAGTCTGACGAGTAAATCCGATTTGAGTTGGCCCAATTATGGCCAAATTAAGCCTGTGATATTACCGCCGGCAGGCAGACAAACAGACAGACAGAGAGCCAATCCCAATACACCATCACTCAGTTCGTTATCAGTTTTGCCCACAGTGGGCCGAGGTTTATGGTTTATGGCCCACAGTTTTAGGGCCACAAGCTAAAAATCACTTCTTAAGCAGCCCCAACTATCAGCGAATATCGGGCGGGGCTTATCAATACCGATTGATTAACGGTTCTTCAGTTTAACAAGTTTTTTACGATGAGCTTCTGGCTAAAGGTTTATAGCTAACGAGTTAGTCATAATTAACTTTTAATAACTGGTTCTGTGATAAGGAAGCTCTTCTAGAAGCTCTATGGAAAAGCTAAGCGATCGAAGCTCTACTTTTTAGAAGCTAAAAAAATCCTCTCGGCAAAGCTTATCAAAGCTCCGAGGAGCCTCCGTTCTTATCGCGCACCTCTGCTAATTAACAGGGGGAACTTCCGATATAACAGCTGCCATTAACACCCATCACCCGAATTACGGCCCCCTAGAACCTCCCAGTCACGTTCCGTCACTTAGACAAACAATGAAAATGGATTATAATAATAAAGATCCAACATCCCGATCAATTAGGGCCCTCGGGCCACTTGGAAATCGTGGCCCATGCCGCGATCCCATGAATGATACGTGATCCTTCTGGGCATGGAAAATATCATAAAAGCGCAGGTGGTAATTAAATTATTAGCATGCGCTGTGCCTCAGATCGGTGTGATTTATTTTTAACCTTTCGATCCATCGCGTGTTTATTGTGTTGACTTTGGTCTCTCCGCATTTTGCCAAAACGTGTCGCTCTTTCTTGACCAACTGTCAATGAGTTGGCCAAACATTTGCTTTTGGCCACGAGCCAAAATGTTTTTTTCTTACCAATTTTCTTTGCGATTTCCATTTAAATTCGGAATAAATTAAAGTAGGAAAGGTGAAAGTTCTAAAAGTGATAGTATTGGGTGAGGTTAGTGAGGGTCAAATGTTTAAAAAAAAGTTCTATAGATCACCTGGGTTATCGTGCTGAAGCTTATGCAATACCAGGGGCTTTTAAAATATTTATTTTGCTATTTTTATTGCCAGCTGCCGCTCCAATTGTGATTGAGACATTTAATAACGCAAATTGCGTGCAATTTGATCGACAGGCGCGCTGAGATTTGCCGTGATTTGTTTGCCACATTGCGTACTCCGATTCACGCAATGCCTCGCCAATTGCAGCAATTGCAATTGATATTGATAGGAATCGGAATCGGGATCGACCGTGGTAATTGATAGTCGGCCACTCTGTTATCAATCCGCAGTGGCCAGTTTCAATTGCCCCAGAGCGTCACGCATTTGCACAGCACAACAGTTAGCCGCCCACCGGCCGTCCCCCTCCTACACTGTAAATAATTATGGGCTTTTTCAAGATCATCTCGAGTTTAATTTCAAGTTTAAAGCCAATAGTTTAGCAACGTCATGCAATTACTGCTCATCAGTTGCAACCGTATATGATCAGAATAAAATGATTTATATTTTAAAAGCTAGTTAAAAGAAATAGGTGATTCTACAGAGATTTTGTATATAATAAAGAACATTTTCAAACATCTTAAGATATTTGTTTAAAATCATTCATCCTTAAGATATATTTTTTACTAACACTTTTGAGTATTAGGAAGATTATTTTTATTCAGTTTTCTGGGAATAAATAAAATTCTAAAATGTGTCCAATAAATAATATATTAATGAAAGACTCAAGGAAATAACATATCTGCTATATTTTTGTGAATAATATTTGTTATTTACTTACAAATTTCTTTGCACCAAAACCGGTTAAATTAATCTCTTTTAAATGACACTTTGTTAACTTCCAACCAAAGTGTTAATATCTGGTTTTTTTTCATGGAATATTGTCTATATTATTTCTCACATTTTATAATATTTTCGAAACCCGGAGATGAAACCAGTGCAAGTGAGAGGGAGCATCGCTCCAGAGATTATCGCACATAGTGATAAAAGATGAGAGCGAGCGAGAGGAGAAAAGAGCGACGAATGAGCGTTTAAGATGCTCATAAATTCTGGACACTTGACTTTTTTATGCTCCGCCAGTAGGATTTGCTAATTTCCACGACTTTGTGTGTGTTTGTGGTCTGCTTCTCGGAGTGAATATATGCTCTCTCACGGGAGCTAAAAATGGGCTTTTGATTTACGCAATATTATATAGACATAGATATAAATATTTGCCTATGGCTACTCCAACGCCTCAGATTGACATTGACAGTCCCGCTGTCGCTTAGTAAATTTTCACTCGCTCCCCGGCGGTCGGCAAGTGCGAAAAGTCTGCATAAAGATAAATTATATAGTGAGATCTGTTGTTCGAGATTTAAGACAAAAGGCAGACAAGTGTCAAAATGAGCCACGAGATTCGGTAAATATTTGGGCAAAGGAATAAATCAAAAACATTTAGAAAACGCCTAAAGAAATACTCCCAAAAGTATGTGAATCGATTACAAGTAACATGGATTTTATAATCACAATAAACGGATTAAAACGTACAGTTTTGGAAACCAATTGCTCGAGTGGCCCTCGACTGATAACAGTGACAAAGATTGGTTATAGGTGTTATTGGCCATGCTCTGATTTTGATTTCTTTTTGTCTTTTTTGGGGCCATTTATCTATGAACCCAATTGACAGCTGAACAGGCAATCGCAAGAGCTACCGTTGTACTATTAATAAAACGACATACTCCAATGTTAATCTAACCGTCGATTGTTTTAGTCTTATTGTGACTTTCCCACCGTACGCTTCGTGTTTCGGATCAGAAATAGTTTGAAAAATCGATGCCATGTCAACGAACCGCGAACAGCAGGGGGTGGATCAGCAAGGGGTGGAAAATCCCTTGGAAATCCCCCCCGAAGGAGAACAATTGCAAAGGTCTTGAACAGGAAATATAAAGTTCAACAATAGTTAATTTGTAAGCGTGGGTGGGAAAGATTAAATTCGAATGGAAAAGCTTAGGGAATCGATAGGATGGTATAAGATAGGATATGATTGATGAAGTTATTAGGCTGGTTTGCCAAAAAAAAAAAGAAAAAGAGACAGAGAGATAGGCCAAAATATACAAAGAGAGAGAGGGTTGTTAGCTTTTTTAGTGAGGCATTTCTCAACCGCTTCTTCGACCTTTTCAGTTGCTGTAAGGTATTCAAAATGAAGGGATCGACGCTGGACAAAATCTCCGCCTTCCTGGGCGAGCTCATCGGCACCGGAATCCTGGTCTTCCTGGGCTGCATGGGCTGTGTCAGCACGGACACGTTCAAAAACACCCATCTGCAGATTGTCCTGAACTTTGGCTTCGCCGTTTTGATTGCCATCCAGTGCTTTGGCTGTGTCTCCGGTGCCCATTTGAACCCGGCCGTAACGGTGGCCGCCTACATCTACGACATGGTTTCATTGACAATGGCCTTTGCCTACTTTGCTGCCCAGATGCTGGGTGCCTTCATAGGATATGGCCTGCTGATGGTCCTGCTCCCGAAGGAGACCCTCACTGTCGGCAACGGACTCTGCGTGACTGTGCCCCACGCCTCCGTGCAGGCGGGCCAGGCCTTCGGCATTGAGTTCGTCATCACCTCCATCCTCATCATCGTCTGCTGCGGCGTCTGGGATCCGCGCAACGCCAAGTTCCACGACTCCGTGGGCATCCGCTTCGGCCTGGCCATCGCCTGTCTTGCCTGTGCTGCCGTAAGTTGAACCATATGTTTGCCAGTAATACAGGGATTTTTCTTCAAATCAAAGTAAATTTTAAAATATTTTACACACAGAAAATTATACAAGATTTTTAGTGCCGTTTTCTTTTAAAAACGTTTTAAAATTCCAAAGTAAAATAAAATTTGTATTAAGCGTTTTACTTTTTAAAATGTTTCACCCCTGATTTTGAACCTAAAACTTTTGATAATTTTCTCTGTGTAGAATTTTTAATTAACAATATCTATTATTGCTTTAAAATATGATGACATAATAATTTTATACTTAAACTATTTTAGAGTACTACACAAAATATATTTTTTATCTTTAACTTTTTATGTAGTATAAAGTATGAAAATTATTTTATTGTCTTATTTAAAGACCGAAACAATTTATTTTTAAATTTAATAATTTAATATTTAACCCATTTTAAAATACTTTCATTATCTGAGTACGATGAATAACCTCCCCTATTTATTTTAGGGACCCTTCACCGGTGCCAGCATGAACCCGGCCAGGTCCTTCGCCCCCGCCCTGTGGAACGGCCACTTCGAGTCCAACTGGATCTACTGGCTGGCTCCGCTCAGCTCCTCCGCCATCACCGCCTACGCCTACAAGGTCGTCTTCCGCAGGGAGGTTGTGGAGGCGGAGATCACTTCCAACGAGAAGCTGCGCCACCTGGAGGACGTCCAGCTGTCGTAGGAGCCAGAGTGCCAAAGACATTGCTGTAGTGAAAGCCTTAACTAATTTACTTCTATTCTAAGACGCCGAATTTTATAATAATGCATTCATTGTACGCTAATATAAATAGTGTTTTCACAAAGTGCTCGAAAGTTTCGCTTTTGAAATAATTACTCACTTGGTGAACACACTAGTTGCCTTCAGTAATAAAGAACATCGAGATTTTTAATCTATTCTAAACAAACACTTGACCTTTTTATTGATTTTTACGAGGTTAGATAACTACAAAAGGCTAGTTTCTACTTTTTGCATAAATCCATTAACACAACAAAGGAGTTACTATACAACGTTGTACAACTGTTTTCTAAAAATTATTTAAAAGTACTATTTTTGTTCTTCAACATTTTGAGAGCATGAAATATTAAAATAGATTGCAACTATGGTATTCAAGTTTGTAACTTCATCTTCTGTTACTAAAACTCCTTAATTAGTTAAATAGATTATTTGTTAGGGATAGCCACAGTTCCCTTGGGATGTACCATGATTTACTGAAGAATGTTGGTTGTATGTATGTGATAATCTGTCTTATGGCTGTGCCGAGATAAAAAGATTATAATATCTCGACCTTGAAACTTATTCTGAAAAGATGTCGATGACTTGTTAAAAATAACAATCTTATGTTATTACTTATTTTTTATATATTAAAAATAACCTGAAACACGATACATTTATTGGGGATATGCCTACTTTAGTTAGTTATATTTCGAAAAGTATATTTGATTCGCATTTGCAATGATACGTTGCAGTACCTTCGGGAAAATCCATTGGAAGTGTGCTCACCTGAAGAAGAGGTTCCTATGTAAATATTTAATCACTTTTAATCCCTGCCTGGAATGCTTAGGGATCTACGTTGATTGACCCTAAGACACCTAGGATCTTAATTAATCTTTTTCGTGGAAATAAAATAAAAAAAGAGTGTCTGCGAAAGTAACGAGTCATTGGGAAATTTGGTCATACGATTTTTAAATATTTTAAGTTGCCACAAATCGACCAATCAAACTACACTTAACGTAAGCTTATCAGCAGACAAAGAATTAGGGCCACCCACCCATAATTCCCTGACACGAGAGACTATAGAAAAAATGCTAATTTAATTCAGCTATTGCACGTAATGAAGTTTGTATTGGACTATGGACTATGTGGGATGTATCATATGTTTGGAGGTTTAAATTGAACTTTGGCCTATGTGCGATATGCTAATGCTTACTTTCCCTTCGAAATTCCTTAGAGTCATTATGGTTTACCCGTGATTCGCATTTGAATACTACCATAGACCCGGTTTATAGGCCTTGTTATAACGATTCAGACGACTATGGGCTGGCACAAGAAGTGTTGTCCAAGGCTTGGCGCCCCGTTCGCCGTCCGATAAAGATCTTAATGAGATAAGATTGAGCACAAATCGGGCGAAATGGCAGTGGCGCTTATCAGGCCGATAATTACGGCTGAGCAAAGCCCCCAGAAATGCCCCTTGATGAATTGATCTATCCTAAATGGGTGGACGGGGGCTGCTCCGAAATCTGCGCTCGATAATTAGCATTATGGTTTTATAATTGATATTGATTGATTGCCGTAAATTTGGGCTTGCGTTTTTGCGTTTGGGTTGGGTCACTTGGGCAGCCGCCCAATTATTTTGGCAGTAGTGTTCAGTCAGCATGTCGCAACAGAAGCAAAAATCACAGGAGTCCAATCCGACCGCCAGGTGGCGCTTGGAAGGACCTCACCGATCGGCCATAGCCTCCTTTTTCGGGGAGTTTGTGGCCACTGCGGTGTTTGTTTTCGTGGCCTGCATGGGCTGTGTGGAGACGCCTGTCTTCCAGAACTCTCACTTTCGAAGTGGCCTGACCTTTGGCCTGGCCATTCTGATAGCCATCCAATGTTTTGGCTCAGTTTCCGGTGCCCATTTGAATCCTGCCATCACCCTGGCTGCCTGGCTTTACGGCGCGATCGGTTGGATGAAAGCTATTGCCTATTTTGTGGCCCAGGTTGCCGGAGCCTTGATCGGTTATGGAATCCTGGTGGCTGTTTTGCCAGAGAGTTCGATCAAGGGAGTGGACAACCCGGCGGGTGTTTGCGTAACAGTTCTGGCCCCGGAAATCAGTGTGCTTCAGGGAGTCTTCATCGAGTTCCTCATCACCTGCTGCCTGGTTATGGTGGCCTGTTCCGTCTGGGATCCCCGAAACGTCAAGTTCCAGGACTCTGTGCCCGTGAGATTTGGTCTCACCGTTTCCTGTCTGATCCTCACAGCGGTTGGTATCTCTTCGAGTATATCTTGAAACTGAAATTGATTTGAGATTTAACCTTTTAGGGTCTTTTTACGGGTGCCAGCATGAATCCTACGAGATCCTTGGGTCCCGCCGTTTGGAACAACTCCTGGGCCCACCATTGGATCTACTGGGTGGGTCCTTTAGTGGCAGGAGCTGTCACCTCACTGATCTACAAAATGGCATTCAAGGGCGATGAAGTGATCGATCTGAGAAACTCCGATGCCAAGATACGCATGATCGGGGAGGTTATAGTGCAATAAATTATTGTACCTTGTCTAGCTGTACTTATCGAATCTTAACGAACTAAATATACTTAAATATCTTAATTAAATATTAGTACAATCATTAACCTTTTACTAAAATTTATGTATGCATACTAGACTGGGTCGATTTGTATGGGCGAAAAAAGTGATAGATCGTAGGGGGGAACGCAAAGTAGGAAAAATTCTAAGCAATATTGCGAAAGAAACTATATCTTAAAAACCACGTTTGACTATCCGCATTTGCAAGAGAAAAATGGTGGTATTTCGTTTTACTTTTACGAAAAATATGAATATATTCTATTTTTAAATTCTCCCCACTTCACAGTGGTCGCTGCCATAGGCCAAAAATCAAAAAATTGATTTTGAGATATTCCAGCGAAAACCGGTTCTACGATCAGCTAATTGTACAAGCTTTATAATACAAAACTTTTTTTTTGGAATTTCTAACGGGACTTTCCAACACTGGGATGCAAAGTGCGAGAACGTGCTTACTTATTTTCAATTTGTCAACAGTGCAGTGCCACGAAGTGATTTTAAAAAATTCTAATAAATTATAAAGCACGGTTTAACCCCATTCAAATATAATGGACATTGTTCATAACAGTATATACTTTGTTTATACAGATACATGAATTAATAACTTGTGCTGTGTTTTGCGTAAATACGTGGTAAAGTGTGCGTCCTATTTAGTTCGTAAATGTTGTGCGTTCCAATGTTTTAGGTAAAGTTTTAAGTGCTTTTCCCTAGTTTTCCTACAATGATGTTTATATCCTGTTTTTTATTAATATTTAAAGATTATAAAAATGTTTTGTCCAGCTGCAGAAAGGTGCCGCTGCACTTGTGGCATTAAAAAATGCAACCTAACCTCATTTATTTTAGAACCTTTTTCTAGGAGGAAGATCTTTTTTGTTATGTGTGTTCTGTTGTTGTAGCTTGTTTTTCCTGTTTCTTTTGTAGCTTTTTGGTTGGTTTTTGATTGGAAAGCTTTTTAAAGGAGCCGCTGAATCAAAAATTAAGGATATTTAATAATTCGACTGCAAATATAGATTTATTTAACATATTGCTTTTAAGTTCTGATCCTTTTATTAATGGACAAAAAAACTTAGTTATAACCAAAAGTCAACTCTTTTAGAGTCAACTATTTCGCTACTCGATCAAAAAATTTTAAAATTATATTAAATCTTATTATTGTTTATTTTGTTTTTTTATAATTTTTTTTGGTGCTGGTGGAGTTCAGTAGTCACTCCCACATTTTTATATTGCAGTTCTAAGTTTGTAAATATCGTACGGTAAACAAACCAACTTGTTATTATTACAAAAATTTAATTTTTGATTTCCCTCTCATATAAATGAGAAAATCGTTCCTATGGAAGATATAGGATATAGTGGTACGATCTGCCCAATTTTTGTAACATAAATTTATAATATTTATCTTGATTTTTGGTAAAAATTTCATGGCGATAGCACATCTAGAAGTATTTATGGCCGCGGCTCCATACAAGCCCGACCACTGTGCACTTGTTAAAAATGTTTTGTTCTCTTTAAAAAATTTCTTCAATGCTGTTATTTTGCCTAGCATACATACATGAATTTTATTTATTTTTTTGAAGAAACTTTCTAATAATATATTTTAAGAATTCTATTCAATTTTTATTAAATGCATTTAAGGAATATTTCAGCCAATTACTTTCATAAATTTATAAATACTTATGTTTTTCATTGCATACATTTGGGGTACACGAATATTTGGTTTTTTTGGGGGCTCGTATTTGTTTGTTAATCCAACAAACACAAGCAAATCTATCAAAATAAAAATCCCTAAGCTCGCCAAAATATTTATTGAACGTTGCTGATAAGTAACCCTTATAAATGCCTCAAAGCTTGATAACATATTGCGCATGAATGATTTTCCAAGGGTTTAGTTCCGCAGATAATACTCCCATGACACAACAAATTGATTTAAAAGTAAACCACTTACTTTTAAACCATTACAACGACATCGGGCTTTAAGCATATCGATGGAATTGTTTATGGCAGCTTTCTTATCAGACCACCAAATATTCCTATTAAACGTCTAGTCACAATTGTGAATTGTCTCCAACTCGGACTAGACAACGTCAACGTCATAAAAGTGGACATACGCACTCGAGTTAATAGAGCACACAAACTAAAATGTTCGGCAATACTTAAGTAAATACAAGTATATAGGACTGCTGGCTGATAACCACCCGAGGCGATTAGACGCCCTGATGATTGCGGCACGAGATTGCCAGCGATTAAGAGCCGGCGATATAGTATGCGATTCGCAGCCATTGAGTACTTGGACTGCACTCCAGTTTACGGTGAACCACGTCCCCGTTTGGGTTAATCGCTCGAGTCCACGAAAAAGAAAATATGGCTAAAACCACAAGGTGATTCCCGAAGTCTAAAGGTTTTTTAATCCGGAAACTACGTTGTTAAAGAAAGGAGTTTATATATGTTGTGATAAAGATATAAAAGTTTTCATTTCAATACCAAGAAATGGAATAAATAAATAAATAATAATAAATAATTATGGAAAATCTTTGTGAAACTAGAAATTTATAGGGTTTTCAAGTGATCTCCTTTATTTTGTCTATCAAATGTAGATAAACTTATTTAAAATTATATTTTAATACAACTAAAGTTTTAAAATTGTCGCAAAAGTTCAGGGCGTTAATATATTTTAATTATTTTAAATCAAACTTTTACCTAAGACCTAAGATCATTACTTATATAAAAGTTAGCTTATTTTCCTGTTAAAAAATGATAACAAAAATTGCAATTTTTCTTAACTGGATAATTTTATCTATCTTACAGCCGATCAACATGCTGGCTGCTGCAGCGCCGTCAGCTGGACAATATCTCCATAGTTCTTGCCGAAATGATAGCCACCGCCATGTTGATGTTCCTCGGTTGCATGGGCTGCGTCCAGAACTCCGTTTTCACCAACTCGAACTTCCAGAGCGCCGTAAACTTTGGATTCGTGGTGCTGATCTGCATCCAGTGCTTCGGCTGTGTGTGTGGAGCCCACTTGAATCCCGCCGTCACCCTGGCCACCTACGTTTACAACATGATCTCGCTGCCCATGGCGCTAGCCTACTTTGTGGCCCAGATGGTGGGTGCCTTCATAGGCTACGGACTGCTGAAGGCTGTGCTCCCGGAGAATGCCATCTACAGCTCGGACACGCCCAATGGAGTTTGCCTCACTTCTCTGAATAGCACCTTGACGAGTTGGCAGGGTGTGGCCATCGAGTTCCTCATCACCTGCGTCCTCATCTCCATTTGCTGCGGCGTTTGGGATCCACGAAATGCCACGAAACAGGACTCGGTTCCCGTGCGTTTCGGCCTGGCCATCGCCTGCCTTTCACTCACAGCGGTAAGTTAAAATTAAAAAAAAAAAAAACTCTAAACTATATTTAAAGATCAAAAAAAAAAAATACCTTACCTTAAAAACTTGAAGATTTTATATAAATTTTTTAGTTAATAGTTACAACAAATGTTTATTTTTCTTTGAAATATTTATTTTGCCTAAAAATTATTATATATTAAATCAAAATAAAAGAACATTTTTTTGCTCATAAAATATGTCAAATTAGTTTGCATCAAAGAATCGATTATTTTATATTTTTAATTTATCAGCACTTGAATGACTTTCTATTGATGATAACCTTATTTAAACTTGGCACATAATCAGTTTTAATATATTTTCAAGATTAGTTAAAATCAAAGCAATAAGTACATATATCTTTTAGCTGACAAAAACGAACGATTAATTTAAGTGCTTGTAGACGGAATTTCCAATAAATTTCTTCTGGTCTTTTTTTAACTTAAGATTCTATTCTTTTATTTCTAAACATACTTTCATCCACCTACAGGGCCAACTGACAGGCGCCAGCATGAACCCAGCCCGATCTTTTGCTCCTGCCATTTGGAATGGAGCTTGGGAACACCACTGGATCTACTGGGTGGGTCCCATGGCCGGGGCCCTAGTCACCTCGGTGATCTACAAGTACGCCTTCCGGCGGGAGGTAGAGGATTTGGAGGAGGTCGACGAGACCACAATGTCAACGAAACGAACCTCGGAGGCGGAACTCGCCTAGAAATGATTTAATACCCCATAAGACAAGTTATCGTTTAAGTTTGTGTGTGAGTTGAATGCGGTTTAGTTTTAAGTTGCAAAGCGTACAAATAAATACCTTAAATGAAATCTTACGGCTGCCGACTATATAAATAATCTAATGTAAATGCTATGCTTATCTGAACGAGATTACTTTTACGCCACCGCGAAATGCTTATCGTTAATATTTAATTGCTCATACACTTGATCAAATAAACCACACAGTAGCCACAAATGCCGAGCTTACGTTTATTGTCACTCGCACTCGGGTTTTAGAGCCCTAGCTTGGATACCGGGTGCAAATGGGTATTTCCAAGGGTCTATAACGTGGCGTATACGCGTTCTTCCAGATAAACGGAACCATGATGGCGGCCAAGATCTGGCCAGTCAGCTGCATTAGAACCGAGTCCGGGTTGCCTTGGAATATGGCCGGTACAAGGGTCCTAGCCGGGTTCATAGAAGCTCCAGTTAATTGGCGCTGAGAAAGAAAAAGGGTGGTATTGTTTTCAATATTGTACATAATATATATTTCGGAACGGAGGCCAAAAAGACTGCAGTTAATTAATACCACACAATAAAGTTATTTTAAAAATTAGTTCAACTTATAAAAATCACTTCCGGCATTTTAAAAATTTTAAATGTTTAATCTATATAAATTAGATTATCTTGAAAAGAAAAAATTCCATGTCTTTAATATATATTAACCACTTATGCTGATTATTTTACCATTATAAGATATGGTCATGAGATTATGGAATGCGATTAGAGAATACTTTGAATTATTAGAAATTCTTAAATGGAGCTGATAAAGATTGCTAATCTTTAACCCGATAATTGAGTTCGACACACGTCATAGCGGGATTTTATAAGATTAGGAGACCAAAACTATTTTCAATCAGTACCGGAGTTCAAACTCACCCCAGCAAAACTGCAGCCGATCACCAGCAGACCCATTCGAATGGTGACCGAGTCCAGGAATCGTCCGTTTCGCACATCCCACAAGGCGCACCAGCCGAGCACAAAGATTGCGGTCAAAAGACATTCGATGGTAACAATCTGAGCGTTGGACAGACTGGCCATAGGTTCCACCAGACAAACGGCTGGCTTGCTATTATCCACCACATTCTTGGGCAGCAATTGCACGAGAAGGAAGTATCCAGCAAATCCACCGGCCAACTGACAGACCACATACATCATCATCATTTCAGAGGCTATGTGGCCCATTAAATAGCACGAGATCGAAATGCAGGGATTTGCATGGATACGAAACCAAACACGTGCATCACCATCATCACAGCCAGGCCATAGTGAATGCTTCGAGAAGGAATTATAATTTTTTTTAAAAAACTTAAATAGGATATATTTATTACCTGGCCACCAATGCTTTTATCTCGCCGCCTTGGTTCATCGAATCTCCCATGCAACCAAAAACCATCAGTAGAGCGGTGGCACAAAACTCACTAAAACCGCGTATAAAGGTATAGAAGTCCCAAAACATCGTGAACAATCCGTAATTGTTGTGTATTACAGACGATTTGAAAACAATAAACTAACAAGAAAGTCCTATTTAACTATGAGCTTCGATCCTCTTACTGAATTTTAACTTTTACCAAAAATCTGTAACTAAAGAGGTATGGTGTACTTTGATCGAATCCATTTTTGAAGATTTGTTTAATATTTAACGCTAATTTTTAAATTAAATATTTTTAATAAACCCTGAAGAGATTTAGAATGCAAATCTTCTGAATTGACCTTGCATTCGTTTCTTTTACTTAATTTCTGATCAAACCGCTTCTCTTTAAATATACAAAAAATCTAGTTACCTGGGGGAGCTTTGTTTAATAAATGCGAATGTATTTTTAAATTTTTTGTTTACTTCAAAATATGTTCCGGAGGGCCTATAAGATTTTACCTTTTTTTAAGGCAAGAAATGTCTTCCCTATAAGCCGCTCAATGTAGGTATTTCACCTTTGTATACTTCCCTTATATTACCATTTCATTATAGTAAAGGTCGGCTATTCAGTGATCTGTTCGATAAAGGTGGCAGAGGAAGTGGCGGTATCGAACCTTACCATGTTGTATGTATTTTGAAGTTATCTTCTATTCTAGAAATTAATAACAATTATATTCCCCTAGAAATTGTTACAAGTGAATAAGGGCAAAGAGGCTCAGATCCTGCAATTAACCGCACAAATCGAGTCCCTTGAAATGCAAATAAAGGCGCTTGAAAAAACAGAGTCAGCGGAGGCTCAGGCTGCCAAGGGAGAACTTATGCTGGTCCTTAAAGAGCTTAAAGGTGCCCTCCGGAAACTAAGAATGAATAAATAATATTCCAGTTAAATGTCTAGTTCTTTACTAATAATTTAGAGTAACTTTATCTAACTTTAATAAGTTAGAAAGTTAGCAAGAGTAAATTTACAGGTACTCAACATTTTCTACCAATGCGCACCTGGAGTTCATAGCATACTTTGTGGCTGAGCTGAAAAATCGAGGTAAGTATGCTATGCGATTAAAATTCAATAAATCGAACTTTAAAAATACTTTCAAATTTTGAGAATCAATCAAAATTACCTGTTCTCATTTTCATACACCCGAACATGAATATTAATCCAATAATCCGTTCTGTATTGAGCCACCTCCGAGGGCAAACCATTAGGTAAGAATTATTACCTGCTAATACTGATATTGTCATAATATTATTTAAAAATAGGAGCTTTCTGGTTGTCTTGCCCGATCGCAGTCGTATAGAAAAACAGCTTAAACTGGAGGAGCTGATAACGGTAAGAGATCGCAACATTTGATTAATCAGAATAAATGTATATAATGCATCCACAGGAACGTGGAGTTTTGGATATGCGATCTCATGAGCTATCGATTCAGCAAAAGCGGGTTGAGGCAAATCTAACCGATCTGACTCGCTGCATTAGGGGCATGGAGTTCGATTTGAAGGTGAATTCCCATCTGGAGAACAAGGAAAACAAAGAACCACGTGGAAGCACTGCGTCGCATGTTGCCCCGCCAAGCGATAAGAAATCACCGAAAGTCGGTGATTTCAGCGAATAGCAAAATCCCCTCGGGTGCTTCCCAATCCCTGGGGCCGTACTACGGGTATAAAAGCACTCATTGCGCCGGAGATTGGCATTCAGAAACATTTGAGATTGCCAACCATGAAGCTGTTTGCACTGTGCTGCCTGCTAATTCTGGGCCTTCTGGCATGCCTGCCCACTCCCGGTGATGCCTCTCCATCACGTGACAGTGGATCGCGACCGGGATCAGGATCAAGGGGTGGTAGTCCCTTCCATCCTCCACCCCCACAACAACGTCCATTTATCTACGACTCACCGGTTAGGAGGCAACCACCCAATACAATGTACGCTTAAACGATAACAATAAAAAAATTAAAATGCCATTTCAAATCGGGGATTTATATTTTCTTATCAACAACTGGCAGCCGACTGAAAATATAAACATCTGATTTTTGTTCAGTATTTAAAAGATAAGGTTACATATATAATTATTATAATAAGGCGGATAACAAATGAATAGGGAAAAAATAGCTAGAACCTGGATGACTTTAACCAATTTCAGGAATGGCTTTATTTATAAGATTTTCTGATTATAAGTTCATTTATACTTTATACTTTATACTTTGGAAAGGCTCAAACGCAAAAAAAATTTGTCTCTGTCAAAAACCGGCTTTTAGTCACTTGTCAAAATTTTCTTAATATACCTGTTTCTGCCACACAGAACCAATAGGATCCTGAAGTTAAGAAACGATGTTCGCTATGGCGCGACTTGTAACCTCAACAACATGCACCAGACTATTATATGCACGGGAAGCACCTTTTCATATCAGCCGTCCTTATAAAAAGTTGTGGAATATTTTACCCCAAAATAATTGGCTATTTTGTAGAGACCTATGTGACCTGAAGACTAAAAGTATCTGTTACAAATATCCTTTTAGGTAAGATTTTATAATATTATTATTATAACTATTTGTATTTTATTTCCAAATCTAACAGGCGCCGATTCTCCGACAAAATATCAGAAAAAGGCAGAGGCGATGAACTAAACTATTTCCTTAAGCTTGTGTGTATACAAATATATTAATATTTTAATAAATTTATAAACATTTATAATTTAGGCCAGGGAGCAATTTATGAAGATTAAAAAGAACAGGATGAAAGAAATTGCCAGTGACATCGAGAAATTGGAAGATGATATCAAAGCCATTGAAAAGCAAACCAGTCGCCGATCGCAAAAAAATAGAGAGCTTATTTTAAAGGAAATAGAGGATCTAAAGGCCATGTTACAGAGATTCAAAAAGAGCTTATAAAACATCCCAGAAAAGTAGGCTATCAGTAAACAGTTTGCCAACAACATTACATCCCTTTTGAAATACATAAAATTTGTTCATTTAGTAAATTCTAAATTTATTTATATATCTACATATCCAGAAAGTCCAATACCGTGAGAAGTACAATGCTTAAGGTTCTTGAAAAGTTATTTCAACTGTTGCGACCCAGGATAACACAATTTGCGCAGTCCAATAAGTAAGTTGAATGTTAGTAATAAATGTATTGAAATCTATTGATTTTTCTGTCCAGGAATATATCCAAGCATTTATATGAGAAAGCTAGGGCAGAGGAGAATATTCATTTTCTAAAACTGGTTTGTAATCTGGACATATCAAAAATCTGGACATAAAAAAAATAATTATAAACATACCATACTTAACCAGCAAAGAGAGCAGCTTAAGACCCTGCGAGAAAGGATTCTCAGCCAGAAGAAGGAAGTCACGACGAAGATCATCAAAGTGGATAAACAGATACAATCGTTGGAAAAAATCAAAACAGAAGAAAATTAGTTTGAAATCTAACGTGCATTCAGGGCAGACACAAGAACCATGAGGAAAATTAAATAAAGTGTGGCAGAAACCGGAACCGTTTTCGTTTCTTTCTTTCGTTTGTATTTTATTTAAAATAATTTGTATCTTTCATTTACACGCTTTACAAAGAAGCCTTCTACGACAACTGAAGCCCCTCTTCATAGCGGGGACTTGCTTATACGTACGGTACATATATCATATATGGTAACAATTTGTTGTTTGCAGCGCAAATGGAAAATAAGATATAGTTAAAATTTAAAAAAGAACTTTCATTTAATATGGCATTTAAACAAACATATATGGAGGGTCGTATATATATCAACATAGTCTATACAAAGATAAAAATAAATACAAGTACAAGTAAGAATCAAAATCAGAGACGACTGCCGATTGTAATGATGCATTTACATATATAGAGTTCTTCTCTCTTACGACTATGAAAAGTAATCATTTGTGCGTTTTTAATATTTCATAATGGTTTAAATCGTTAGTGGTGGTAGCAGAACGTAAACTGAAGTCAAGAACGTAAGTACAATACATTTGTGGTAGTTGAGCAACTTGGAGAGAGTGGTTCCATACGAACTAAAACTAGTAACTAACTAAACTTGACTTGACTTGGTCAAGTGCTGGTTAGGCCAGAAGAGTGTGTAGCTGTGTGTATGTGTGTGCTTGTGAGGTAGGCGATTCATCATAAGATTATGGCATACTTCCGAGCGCCTCCTGATCCTCGCTTGGTTGGGGTGTCGGGGGATTCGCTTCTAGCTTTCAAATACTGATCAACAATGCCAGGAATGTCTCTCTGCGTGTGTGAGTGATTGTGTCGGGGGTGTGGGGTGTGTAGCTGTGGATCCTGCTGCTTTCAACTTAGGTCTAAATCTAGGGCTAACTCTAGCCGATCCCCCGGCCACGTCCTCTGCCTGCGAACGTGACCCCGGCGATTGGTTTTAATTCTATAAACTAATGTAACATGAAACGGTGATGGGCTGCTGCTCCTTTTTTTCCTGCCGCACTGCCTCCTAACTGGGCAGTCGCTTGCTGGCCAGCTCCTGCAGCTTCTGCAGCGCCAGCGTCTTGTTGATCTCCACCAGATCGCGACTGTGCTTGGCCGCCTGCAACTGCACCTCCAGGATCTTCATGCGCATCATGTGCTCCTTGCTCTGCATATCCATGAACATGCGCAGCTCGCAGTTGTTGTTGGCACTGGAGGAGCTGGCCGCTGTTCCTGCGATGGCCACTCCATTGCTGCTGCTGCTCGAACGCTCCAGGGCCTGACAATCCGAGGAAGGTGGTAGAGCAGAGGTCAGGTTTGCAGGCTGATCTTCGCTGCCCAGCACACTGCCGCTGTTGGTGCGCTGCCTCTTGGCCAGTGGCTTTAAGTTATCCTCGTCGTCCTCATTGTTGTTGTTATTGTGCTGGTGATGCATGGCCTGTGCCTGATGCTGCTGAATGGCAGCCGCGGCCGCTGCTGCTGCACTGGGAAACTGGCCAGATCGCAGGGCATTCAGAGCCTCCAGCGTGGCGGATATGTTGTTCATGTTGAAGTTGGCCTGGAAGCCGGACATGTCGGCTCCTCCGCCGGGCAGAAAGGCACCGCTGGCATCCAAGGCAGCCGCTGCGGAAACTGTGGCAGGACTCTCGGCCTCATGGATCCCGTTGCGACTGATGCTGTGATTGGGCGACACACTCAGACGCTCGCCGCTGCCATGAATGTCGCTCTGACTGAGATGGTGATTGTTGAAGGTCTCGTTGAAGGTCTCGTTGTTCTCCTCCTCCTTGATGTCCACATCGCACAGCTCCTGCGGCGGAGTGCGACTGCTGCTTGAATAAATAATACTCATTGAAAAATCTCTCTCTCGAACTGCCAGCAAGCCATCAAAACTTACTCATCCATATCGTGCTCGTCGGCATTGAATTTGTAGTCGTCGCGATACTCAAAGCCTTCCTCCAAAGCGAGCGGAATCTTGGAGTAGTCGATGCCGTCCAGGGCCTCCGATTTGCAAGCCTTCTTGGCCTCCTGCATGAAATCCCACACCTCGAAGGTAAACGGCGATGGCTTCTTGCGATCGGCCACCTCGGCTCCGAATCTGGCCAAGCGATTGTTGTAGTCCAGGATCTCATTGCGAGTGCAAGCTGGAAGATATAATCAATAGGTTAGCCATCATATAAGATATATTTCAAATTTTAGTAACCTACCCTTCATGCGTCGCCACTGTTCCTTGAGACGATTGCAGGTGCGATCGGTGCCAAATTGATTGGAGAACTTCTGGTGGATAATCTTCCAGGCCTTGTTCTTCACAGCCGTCAGACCGGCATCCAATCTTTTGTTCTCGATAATGCGCATATCCTTGCGGCACAGATCGAGCAGGTATTTCTTCTCCTGGTGGTTCCAGTTCTGGGTGCGTTCCCTCTTCTTATACATGTTCATCGATGGACTGTTCATGTACTGTGTCATTTCTGCAAATATTTCAATTTAGAATGCTTCGCAGAGAGGGAGAGCCATTTGCTTAACTTACCCGTCTTCAAGTCGACGCCCTCCAGCAAGTTGTGGTTGGAATTCTGCCAGTTGGCGGCGATCTTCATAAAAGCCTCCAGATCGGTGGCCGAATACTGTTTGTTGACCTGCAAAAAGAAGCAAAGAGTGGCGAGAGGTGAGAAATCAGACATCATTGATTAAACTTCAAATAAAAGGTACATATAACTGATGCAAAAGTCAGTACTCAGTACTTGAGCATGCAAAACTTGTGCCAAATTCCCCACCATACGAAAGTGCTTTGGGACGCACTCCAAAATCCAATGAACCTGATGATGAATTCGGGCAAAATCGAAGACAATCGAAGTTCGCTTTTTTTTTTGTTATTTATCAGAGTGCCACACTCGGGGCACATCAATTAAGTTTTTGTTTTCGGACAGTAGAGTCAGTGAAAACAAAAGGATTCTGATTTCGATTCTGAGCCGAGAGTTCTTCTCTTACTTTTTCTTTTATTTCAGTGGAATTATTCTACCCCGGATGATATCTGACTTTGACATGACTGCCGCTGATATTGCCGAGCAGCTATATAGATGCAGTCACATTAATTGATTTTCAATTAGCGGACAGGCGGACAGATGAACCGAGTGGAGGGAGAATGACTGGGGGAGGTGTGAGCGATATCGGGGATATAATGCTTCCATAAGGCATAACGAAATGGGCCAAAAAGAATATGAATACGAACAATCGAATGAATTGAGCACCCGCAAGACGAAAAGAAGAAATCCAAAAAAAATCAAATAATGCCATGAAACGCGTTTTAAGTTATAAGCTAACAAAACTCACACAAAAAACCAGCTGCCGACATTTTGTTTGGTTCGAAAATGTATCTGTGTGTTTACTCAATAGACGCGTATTTGTGCGACTGAGTGGGGTGATCAAGAGTCATACTGACAGCCAATTATATCTAATCAAGTATATTTAAATGTACTATATAAATACATCTGAATATGCATTTATTCAACAAGTTCTTCAGTCAAGTTCTGGTACGATATTTTCACTATGTAAATTACTCACTGGTGAAGATTATTCTTCCTAACATTGAGGGAAAAAATTCCTTAAAAATCATATGTCTCAAAATAAAATATTAACCCAACTGGAAAGTCCCTAATATTTTTGAATGAGCTTTAAAAATCCCAAATGATTTATTTTCCCCTGCCCAAAAACAGCTCAACTGTACTTGCTTAATATCGTCTCCTCAAAAACTCTTTCATTGATCGCTCCCTCAAAACACAATCGTCAATCCTAAGTACGTTTTATGGGGCTTTATTTTATTTCAATTTCGTTCAGTCGTTCGCTTGATTCGCCTGCTTCTTCTTCGCCCCTCCTTGCCATCGAACACCCACAACTCTTGGCTGTAGAAACTGCGCCATGTGTTCAATATTTATGCCGTATCTGATTTACAATTTATATATATGTACTTTATACATACGTATCACTTATCTAGATATGTACCGAGTACGTACATTCGTATTTATCGCATACTCAAAGACTGAAAGGAGACTTAGTCATATTGGAGACTGACTGAACGCGGCGCGTGCGCTTATTATTATTATTATTTGTACTCTTCCTATATATAAACTTATATTTATTAGCAAACAATTAATTATTACTGTCGACTATTATGGCAGTGTTTAAATTTTAGTCATGAGCTGCGGGGTGGTTGGACCTTTTGGTACACAGAAAGAAAAATATATATTATAGGTGGAGCCATTTTATTATTTTTCACCAGCATATCAATAAAGATAAATTTGTATTTATCCTTTTTCCACTAAAATGTATCCTTAAAATCAGCAATTACCACAAAAAATATTAAATTTTTTAAGAAAATATCAAAAGGGGGCTACTTTTTTTGGCAGTGCACTCAAAGAATGCCAGAATCATTTAAATTCGAGTCGAGTGCCGATTATTCGCAAGGGTGGGGCTCTGCCAAGTTAGTCAAAGATGAAGTTGGAAGATGCAAACCGTGAAATTCTGTATCCAAAGTATCTCTGAAATGTCGTAATTTAAAATCATCACTTGCTTTGCCTTGGCGCAAAAAAAGGATCTCTCAATTGATATGCCGATCAATGTGCGTAAGATGCCGATTTTGGTTGGGAAAGTGACTTTAACGAAAATTACGTAAATCAAACGTATATAATTGTTTTCCTGCCACTCCACTTTTGGCACTGACAGCTCTCGCACATTCATAAAAATAATCACTCCAATCAATGCGACTTCAAGACTAAGCATTGAAATTAAATAAGCAAACTGGTTTAGATTTTGGAAGTCTGAGAGCGTGTAGGTAAGTACGTATATATATGACCGTTTGTTATCTATTTTTTTGTGGGCTATTAATATAAAAACGAAAAATAATTACTGAATCTACATGCTCTACTCGAACCAAACAATTGTGAACCTACACACGGAGCGAAACGGAGCAACAAAAGTCAACCTTGTGCCTTAAAATAAAGCAAGGCATTGTTGCCCGCCACCACTGGAGACTTATAGTTATAGACCAGAGCAGACCATGTCCGATATATATAGTACATATGCCACATAAGTACGTATTCCGAAACGAAATCCAATGCCCGGACAGGCGGCTGTGTGAGTAATTACCGCAAATTAACGAACGTATTCTGCGGCATGCCTTAGTATCTGAACTATCTTTGTCATCAAGTTAAAGCAGCGTTATACGTTATAGTTCAAAGTAAATGGGAATGGGTTATACTGGGTTATAAGTGGAGCACACACACATTGTTATTACTTTTATGGTGGAGTACAGCTATGGTCAGGCCCTGTCTAGATCCAAATCTGAACCTGGAATCGTTAAACTTTGAAGCACTTGAAATGATTTTACAAATTTCTTACTGCTGCCTCGGCTGCTGTAGCCTTGTATAGCATAAATTTATGTATTATAATAATTATACAGAGAAAACTAAAAACGAAATGTCATCGAACGTTCAAGTGGCCGAAAAGAGCTCCCCATCCTGCAAGATTTTATTTTTTTTTGGGTTTTTCGACTCGAGTGGCAGGCATTCATTGATTTGAATGTGTGTTGCGCTGCTTAAATCAGGAAAAAATAAGAAAAAACCAAAGAAAAGAATTTGTTGTGCGCTGTTTATTGTTCTAACGCTGTTCGGAGTAGTTCGAGACCTAAGTGGCCTCCGTTATGCTATTCCCATAGGTTTAACAATTTTCTCGTAATACCCGAGGGAGAAGGGGCTGTTATAAAATTCCGTTGTTAAAATCACTTTTTGGGAGAATTATCAATATTTTGAGAAAGCAATTTACTTTTAAGTTTTTTGAAATGTGAGAGAGTTTCGACCATAAATATATTTGGAATCGACTTATTCGAGAGCTCTGAAAACGAAATAACTTAAAAAGTCGGTTCCATTATAGAGTAAAATAGTTTTGTTATCAGGCTTTTTTAATTTTGATTTTAATATATTTTAGGAAAGCCATTTACTTTTAAGTACTAGGAATTGTGTGAGTTTTCGACCATAAATATATTCTTAATCAACTTTTTCGAGAGCTTTTAATATTGTCTAAAACGGAAATAACTTAAAAAGTAGTTTTGTTTTATACAAGCTGGTTTAATCAGTAAAAATAGTTGTAAAAATGTTGGTAAATACTTTTTTAATTATTTGGTATGTAAAATATATAATAAATTTATCAGAATTCCACATAATTTTATTTATCACAACTAATATACAAATAATAACACTCTGCCGCCTTACATGCAACATAAATCCCATAATTTCTTGGCACATTTTATGGCATTTATCTTAAATTGTGTAAATTACTTATTTGCAAGAATCAGTAGTTTTGTGTGGCGGCAAAGTTTCTCCTTTAACTGCTGCTCAGCTGGCGCAGCTGACGGAAATTGACTCATGGCTCAGTTCAGCTCGGTTCAGTTCGGCTTGGATCGACTGAGGGCGAATTATGCTCCAGGTGTGCATGACACGGGTGCCGAAACAACAAATTTATTAGAAATTTGCTGCACACAAAAATTACACACACAGACTTTGGCACATTTATGCAAACAAATAAACTAATTTCATGACGCACACGCGCGCCTGCGCAGTTGTCAGCAAAATATTTAGTTGTGCGAGTGCTTGTGTGCTACTTACAATTGTAACTAGTTAAAAAAAGCAAAAAACTATAAGATTTTTCTTTGTCAAATGTGGCTTTGTCTACTGCGGGCCTGGCCTACACCCAAAAATAAACCGCGAGCAAGAGAGAGCTGCACTGGGAATTTTATCTACCAGGTATTACTGAAAAAAAATTTTGTTTAAAATATTTATTTTCAAACTATTTATTTTAAACAGGAATTAAAATAAAGAAAAACATTTTGATGCAGAACTATATATATTAAAAAATTTATAAATAATTTATAACCTAATTTTTTCCAAAATATTTAAATTTCTCCCTGTGTAAAGATATAGAGTGGGGGAAAGACGTCGTGAAAAAAGTAATAGAAAAAAGCTTTGGCTCGAGCGGGTTCAGTGACTTCCACTCCTCGTCTGCGGCGACGACAAATTGCGTTTTGTGCTGTGACAATTGCCAGGCATCGAAGTCACAATCCACCTTTGCGCATGCGTAGGTCTAGACTTACTAAATTATTATTGTTCGGTTTCATTAGTCAGCCCGAAAAAACCGAAAACCCAACATCGCCGTCCGAAAACAACGAAAATCCAAGCCTCTCGCATACGAAATGGCGCAGCTGTGCATAGTTTTCGAATCAAAGCCAGACTGTGTGACAGTCGTAGATATCGTCAAGTCAAATGGATTACCTTTATCTTTGATTCCCAGGCGTCGCACACTCCCCCTCAAAACAATTGGAGCACTCTGTATATACTACATATATACTATGGCTATATGGCCTGTGCTTCGACTCAACTTTCTTGAGCACACCCTGAAAACATGGCTGACAAGTTCATTACTCCGCTCCATCCATTCCATCCACAATTGCCACAAACTTTGTGTCGAGCTGCTGCTGCTAACTGCCTTATATGGGCCCCCACCAATTGTTATTTGTTATTGTTTTTATGCCATTCGTAGAATGAAAATTGGTTTGTCACTCGACTTGCTAAATGAGCGTGGTACATGG